CGAAGATTTCAAAGAAATAAAAAAGTGGTTTCAACTAAATAAACTTACACTAAATATAGAAAAAACTAAATATTTGTCATTTACATCTTATATAAACCATCAACCAAATCTAGGACCACTGAGTATAGATGACATCCAGATCCCAGAATCAACATCAATTAAGTATCTAGGTATTATTGTAGATCAGCATCTCAAGTGAGACCTGCAGATAAATAATATCACAAATAAAATTAGAGCATTACTTTTTAAGTTCAGATACTTACGTGATTTTCTGGATGAAAAACAACTGAAAATTTTATACTATTCCTTGGTGCAATCACACTTAAATTATGCAATGGTTGCTTGGGATAGTGCAGCAGACTGTCACATGAAAAATCTAAACACGTTACAAAAATGGTTATTAAAAATTATGTATAGGAAACAAATAACCTACTCTAGCGATGCACTTTTTACTGAAACTAAATTGTTCGACATGAGACAACTGTACTGTCAAAACATTCTAATTAATGTTTTTAAAAATAAAATAAAAATTACTCTTTCCCCACATGACTACTGCACCAGAGGAGAAAATGAGTATCTTACAACCTCCCATAAAACCATTGGGGAGCGTTGTTCAAGTTACTTTGCACCAAGATTATACAATTTATTGCCAACTGATATAAAAAATATCAACAATCTAAAGCGTTATAAAATGAGCATAAAGAGCTGATTCATAAAGCAAAATAGAGATATTTTCAATAATTTGATTAGTCTTAATTATTTACAATAACAATAATCTTTATAAAATATATTTTGTCTTAATTTTTGTTTTAATTTTATAGATACTTCTAAAAAAAAATCAAATTTAATTATTTAAGTTTTGCTATTTTTACTCTTGTCTTGTTTTTACTCTTATTTAATTACTTACATTATTTATTCTGTGTAGTTTTTAATTATTTTTATAAGTACATAAAATTATAGTTATTTTAGAGAAGAAATAAATTATTTAAAACATTATTTTACGGCACACATTTTATAGATCTCCTGCACAGTGGGATATCCATGTTTATTCTTAATTATTCATATGTAATATTGTGATAAAATTTTATATGTATATGTACTATTAGCAATAAGCATTATTTTATCTATAAACGTTTAATTTTTCCGCTTAAAAATGTAATGTATAAAATCGTTTAAGAAATCTACCAAGACGAAATTTAAACGGAAGTTATTAACGAAAAATACATTTTATAATATTACATAAATTTATACGAATTTAATTTAAATAAACCTAAACGTATATTTAGTCACACTGTCTCCAAATCGTTCATCGCATACTAAAAAAAATCGTATATTGTTAACTATATTTAAACGCAGAATAATTTACAATTATATACCATAGGACGTAAAAAAAAACGTATACGAAATCAACCAATAAAAAATATAAACGAGAATTACGTATTATACCAATGTGTGCTGCCTGGGTAACTATAATAAAACAAACAATACTCATGACTAAACAAAACATATAAAGCTCCGATTTTCAATCAGCTGTACACCTAATAAATAAAACTGGTTTAGGGACAGAAAATAAAAAATGTAGGTTATATTTAAATAAAAATAAGACAAAATCTGGCTGTAAATTTGATAAACGAAATGGCGTCATTCGTCTTAAAAGTGAGATAAAGTAAATAAACCTAAACAAGCATTATTTCTGTAGTACTCACCTCAATTTCTAAAGACATATTCTGCTTCCCATAATAACAGCACAGCGTATAAATAACAAAAAAAAAGGAAATGGCAAAAACCGACAACTCAAATCTATAATTATTTAGAATATAAGGTTGTCTCTGGCTGGATATAGGATGAAATTATCCATGGATGAAATAAAATAGGAATGTTCCAACAATGGTTAGAAATTAGTCACTGACACCAGGATTTTGCGCAGTATATAATTTGGCGATACCAACAATTTATTGCGGAGAATCCTAGTGTCAGTGATTGGTTTCTGACCGTTGTTGAAATAAACCTTATAACTACATATCCCATCTGCTTCTTACAAATCAGAAATTCTTCATTAATTGTTGGTCTTTTACAATATAACCCGTTCAGTAACCTTTTGTGTATCATGTTGTAACCCCTTTCTGTTCTTATTGAAGGGTTGTACAGATTAATTGTGGTCCGATAAGTTAATTTTTAATCTTTAAGTGTTCTTATCTGAAAATTTAACAAAGTAACATTTTCTTTTCAAACCACAAGTGCTGCAACTTTTCGCCTGGTGAGCACTGGGTTGTTGGTTGTGGAGTTTTGAATTCTAGAGTGTAGAGGTGTGTCGTTCGCGAACGATTCGTTCAAAAAGAACGAATCAGTGCACTGACTCGAATGAATTAATTCCCTGTTTTTAAAAGATTCGAATCTTTTTTGAGTCAATTGTTCGACGGCTCTGTGATCGATCAAGAACGCCCAATTCCGAGTTTGGTTGTTTCGTTCATTCGGATCTGATTCGAAGATTCGGTATTTTAAATCAGCATCGGCAAATCGGTCGCTTTTGTTCTACGTTCTACAGCATAATACAAGAACTCGAACTTACAGGCGGTGGCGGTATGTGTCTGTAATGTTTTTCTCACTTTACCAGAGGTGTATTAAACTTTTAGGTAAACAATTTATGCGCGTTGTCTGATAAATAAATTTAAATCAAAGTAAATAAGTAAAGCAATAAATGACGAATAATATATCTATAATTTTTCGTTAGTTTTGGCTATATTTAGCATTAAAAAAAATTGTGTTACTGTTGTTTATCTTAACGGACAAGGATGAACCCACTATTATAGTATTTAAATTTCCATCTGTCTTCTTTTTATGAAATATTAATTCGCTATACTTTAAAATATCAAATTAAAATAAAACTGGTATTAATTATTTTACTTAAGCATCTCACCACTCAAATCATTACATTCTTTCTTACGCATTACAGACTGAACGCCACTCGATGACCTATAGTAAATAGGTAGTTCTCAAATTCGTAAACGTTCGGTTTGATTTCCTTCGACGGATCGGCGGAATAACATCGTTCGTGGTTCGCTAAAGTGAATCACTTGAGAACGAATCTTTAAGAACGAATCTTTTTAGGTGAATGAATCAAATGAATTAATTCAGTAAAAAGATTCGAACTTCGCACCTCTACTAGAGTGGTTCCGGGCGCTACCTAATTTAAAAAAGACTAAATAAGGAAATAATCATAAGAACGATATCTTATGAAGATATACTTTAAGATATAACATTTCTTACCTATAAAATAATAAAAGAACAAAAACACTCAAATATATTTGGTAAAAATTGTTTATTATGCCCGTCAAGAATTAATAATGCCTTCCCTTCTTCTTTACGTGGCAAGAAGTGGTTTTTAAACCAATTCAAAAAAATCGTTGCAGTAACGTAGGCTGATTTTTGAGACATTACAATATGTGAACCAGGCGGCATTGAATCAGTCCACTCAGTCTTTAAATTCTTGCCTTTAAATACACAGACCGGCGGCAGAAAAAAACCTTCAGCGTTACAACAAGCTATGCACGAGATTGTCTCACCCTTTTCCCCTGATGTCACTGTGACAATGTCCTCTGCTTCTTTTTGGGCTAAGACATGGCCAGGACGATTATTTAGGCCTGTTTCGTCGACATTATAAACGCATCCAGGTTTGTCGAGAAGCTAATTTTGTTCCAGTATTTCTTGCAGTAAAGTGAAATAATTTCCCACATCTAAACGGTTCATGCCTTAACCTCGCCCTAGAGGTACACCCTCAGCCTTGCGAATAGACAGGTCTGGATGTCTTCTCAAAAAAGACCTAAACCAATCGGAACCGGCACATCCTTTTTCTTTGTTGAACTTGTGATTGATTTTTATACTTTCCGCAAAAGTATAGGCAAGCTTACGAACATCTGGAACTGTCATAGGAAAACCGCATTTTTGTGCCTTTTTAATATGTTGCACCAATTTATTTTCATTTGCCTCCCCCAACATGTTATCCGGCCCCATTTTACCTGTTGTCGACACATTTTTTTTTCAATTTCCTTTCAAGAGTTTTCATAGGAATGCCGTTCACAGAAGAACCGTTTCTGACAGCGTCCATTGCTCGCCGCAGATTTTCTTCAGTATAGTTTCCACGATTCGAGTTCCTTCTTTGATACTCCGTTGGCATGTTTTCGCAGCAGAATGGAAATGATGCCAAACTGTAAAGAAAGAGACGTAAAAATATATGGCCATCTATCCCTACTATTGGTAGACGTAGACGTAAAAATATATGGCCATCTATCCCTACTATTGGTAGACGTAAAAATATATGGCCATCTGCCCCTACTATTGGTTGGTCATCTCTCCCAAATGCTAGGGAGAGATGGCCAACGTGACAAATAAAACCCACCGCACATTTTTAGCTGCTGTTTGAGGTTAGAATCATCTAATGAATATTGTACTCACCTAATATGTTGAAATCGGCACTAAATTTCCTCACAAACATTCACAGTAGAAGGTGACACAAAACTAATTTTATAAGGACGTGATATTATTTTTATTGTTTTGACGCTTTAACGTGACCTCGACTTAAACGACAACACACTGGCTGTGCTTATGGATAATCATTTATTGTCGGAGAGGACAGGCAACACCATCTCACGACCCGTTAGTCAAGTTTTAGCCGTTGGCCATCTCTCCCGACTGGCCATCTCACCCGACTTTACTCTAACTAAATTTTATTATTTATTGGGTTTTCACTTTCGACCTTCGGCATATTTTTTGAATATCTAATCCTTTGAAACGGTGAATTCGACATCATTTGACAATAATGCCTAAGCTCATTATATTCCGTATCGTATCGTATTACACGATAGTGGATAGCGTCTATAAATCCCTACTTTTCTGTAATTTGTTTTAAAAAATTCACAATTTCTTGCCCCCAGGAAAAAGTTCTGGCGATGCCTATGCTCTTTAGTAATGCCGCATTAAAATTAATATACTTTTTGTTTTAGTTTTCAGATCATCTAGAAAAAACCTGTACAATGTCCAGTTTGGAAGATGCTACGAAGCTTGTTTCTATTGTGGCCAATTTTTTCTTACTAAGTCACAGTTTCTGTACCATTTTATTATCGTTCATTGTGTAAAGAAAGTAACAGAAGTTTGTAAGCGAAAATGTGGACAATTTAAACATTGTCGGTGTAAAAATGTACATACTATAGTTAGACATTCATCTACAGCAAACATATTCCATTTCAATAAAAAACTATTGCAATGTGGGATTTGTTCTAAAATATTTCCAACCGAAAGAAATTTAAATAATCATTCGAAAATACACACTAGTAAATTTTTTTTCAAATGTCAAATATGTTTGAAACAGTTTGGCAATAAAAATAATTTGAAAATGCATTTAAAAATGCACATTGGAAAAAAACCGTTCGAGTGTAAAATATGTTTGAAACAATTTGCACAGAAAAGCAGTTTAAAATGGCACTTAAAAATTCATACTGGAGAAACAGGGTTCAAGTGTAAAACATGTTCGAAACAGTTTATCCGGAAAGGTGATTTTATAAGGCATTTAAGAATTCACACTGGAGAAAACCCGTTCAAGTGCGAAATATGCTCGAAACAGTTTATTCAGAAAATCGATTCAATTAAGCAGATAAAAATTAGTTCAGAAGAAAAATCGTTCAAGTGTGAAAAATGTTCGAAGCAGTTTATCCAAGGAGGCGATTTAAACGTTTACACTGAAGAAAAATCGTTCAATTGCGAGATATGTTCGAAACAGTTTACCAAGATAGGAAATTTAAAAAGGCACTTAAAAATTTACACAGGAGTAAAACCCTTCAAATGTGAAATATGTTCTAAACGGTTTATCGGGAAAAGCGATTTAAATAAGCACTTAAAAATTCACACTGGAGAAAAAGCGTTTAAGTGTGAAATATGTTCGAAAGAATTTGTACAGAAAAGCCATTTAAAATTGCACTTAAAAAATCACACTGGAGAAAAACCGTTCAACTGCGAAATATGTTCGAAACAGTTTATTAGTAAAGACGTTTTAAAAAGACACTATAAAATTCATTCTGGTGAAAAACCGTTCGAGTGTGAAATATGTTCGAAAAAATTTTCAAAAAAGTTTAATTTAAAATGGCACTTAAAAATTCACACTGGAGAAAAAGCGTTTAAGTGTGAAATATGTTCGAAACAATTTGTACAGAAAAGCCATTTAAAAAAGCACTTAAAAAATCACACTGGAGAAAAATCGTTCAAGTGCGAAATATGTTCGAAACAGTTTATCCGAGGAGGCGATTTAAAAAGGCATTTAAAAATTTACACTGAAGAAAAATCGTTCAAGTGCGAGTTATGTTCGAAACAGTTTACTAAGATAAGAAATTTAAAAAGGCACTTAAAAATTCACACAGGAGAAAAACCCTTCAAATGTGAAATATGTTCGAAACGGTTTATCGACAAAGGCGATTTAAATAAGCACTTAAAAATTCACACTGGAGAAAAAGCGTTCAAGTGTGAAATATGTTCGAAACAATTTGTACAAAAAAGCCATTTAAAATTGCACTTAAAAAATCACACTGGAGAAAAACCGTTCAACTGCGAAATATGTTTGAAACAGTTTATTAATAAAGACGTTTTAAAAAGACACTATAAAATTCATTCTGGTGAAAAACCGTTCGAGTGTGAAATATGTTCGAAACAATTTTCACAAAAGTTTAATTTAAAATGGCACTTAAAAATTCACACTGGAGAAAAAGCGTTTAAGTGTGAAATATGTTCGAAACAGTTTATCCAGAAAGGCCAATTAAATGAACATTTAAGAATTCACACTGGACAAAAACCGTTCAAATGTGAAATATGTTCGAAACAGTTTACACTGAAAGGTAATTTAAATGTGCATTTAAAAATTCACAAAGTAGAAAAAACCGTTCAAGTGTGAAAAATACTTCATAGGATTTGGTTATTTAAAATCTCACTGAAAAATTCACACCGACCGGATAAAGATCGTTCAAGTGTGAAATATGTTCGAAACGATTTGCTTAAGAAGTTAGTTCGGAAACTCGTTGAAAAGACGTTTTCAAGTGTGAAATTATGTATTGGAGAAAACCCGTCCGAGTGTGAAATATGTTTGTGTGTGCGAATTCGAGAGCTATGGCTGCAGAAACTGCATCCATTTGCTAAACTAATTTATAATTTTCTTTGATTTAATGTCGGGAAAATGCAATTTTATGTTTATCTAAAATTGATTTTATGTACAGGTAATCTCTACAAAAATTCGGAGCATAGCAATTTCTATTAGCAAGTCGACCAGTACAAATTTCAACCGATGAAGCTTAGTTGCGACATCTAACTGCTCTTTCACATGATCCGGCCTTGAGAAGCGTGATGTTTTCACACGAGGTCGGTTTCGTCCATAGCACGCCGCGCGGCGCTTCGGTATTTTGACATTTCCAGTTGAGGCTCAGCTATTGAAATGTTAACACCGCGGAAAAAGAAAGTGTACTTACTATGGAGACGGCGAAGCAGAAAAAGAAGAAATAGGCGGTTTTGGATTCACCCATTGCTTCAAAATCGACATACTTCTGGGGTCTTTAACGTGTTATTCAATTCATTGCGGAACAGTGAGGAAAGATTCTTTGCGTACTTTCGCATGTCAATAAAATCATTTGATGAACTTTATGACAAACTGAAAGACAAGCTGCAAAAACAAGATACAAACATGAGAAACTCCATCCAACCTATGGAAATGCTTGCCGTTACAATAAGGTAAGTTTATAAATGTATTTAGTAATTTGTAGTATTTGAAAATGGGTTGTAATATGTAATTTAAGGTTTAACAAAAACATTAAAAATATATAAATGGACAACATTTTTATTGTTAAGAAATATACAAAAGTGTATTATAAGAAATTGATATTTTTACTTTGATAAAATATTCCAATCATTTGAATCTCCCTCGAAATCCAAGGGCGAGACACTTGATGCTGTAGCACGATGCGGGGTTGGTGTCCTGGTGGTGGCGTTGGCTGCTAGATGCTTGCTTCTAGACTGGTTTGTCGGTTAATTGTATAGTAATCTTCACTGCTGGTTGAGGTATGAGGGTGAATCGGACGAATGTATGGGTTGTTGTAGGACTGGTTTGAAAATTGCAGAGGAAACTGTGGCTGTTGTTGAGGATAATACATATTTGGAGGCTGACTCGCGGGATGTGGGTAGTGGACTTGTTGGTATTGCGTAGTAGGGACTTGGCTAGTTCCTTGACCCTGTCCTTGGGCCTTGACGTTTTTTAAAACTCCGAGAACGCCGAGCTGAAATTCTACAAACTGTTGACTAGTAAAGGTTTTTAATGTTGGAACCATACTTCTGAAGAAGCCACAGTAAGTTTCTTCTTCGTCATATGGGTTTTCTATGACTTTCATCATCTTCAGTTCGAAATCGTCTTCGTTTCTCTTCCTTTTTCTTGTTACCTTTGGTTTGTTCGGCTGCGCTGGAATACGAGTTCCAGGATCGTCAATTATTTCTTATGTTGGTGATACAGGATTATTGCCTTCGGGTACGTTGATGGATGACTCTATATTATGTTGGTGTGCTATTTTCTTCAAAAATTGAAGTTGGTCGTGATATATGTATTTTTTTATTTTACTAGCTCCAGCTCCTGATTTTTTTGAGTCCTTATCTTTTCGAATATGCTTCATCCACCTGTCCCTTACATTTCGCCATTTCTTGAGCAAGGTGTCCCCTGAAATAAAAACCCGCATTAATTATTTGATTATTTAATATAAAACGTGTGAACTTAAAAGATGCGTTACATAAATTAATTTGTCCTGAGGGAGGGACCGGTTCTGAAACTCGAACAAAGGCAGTTATAACATCTATTGTTGTTTGTTCCAGGTACCTGGCTTCTGGCAACACGTTTACTGATCTACACTTGTACTACAAGCTTGGATTCTCTACAATAAGTAAAATTGTAGAAAACGTATGCGGCAGTATATGGGACGTCTTGCGATCTGAGTGTTTTCCGGAGCTGACGGCAGAGAATTTAAGAAAAATATCAGAAGAATTTTTGAATAAAACACAATTTCCCCATTGCGTTGGGGCTGTGGACGGAAAATATATCAGAGTTGTCAAGCCTGAACATAGTGGTTCTTTGTATTTCAATTACAAAGGTTATTTTTCTATTATGCTAATGGCCGTGTGCGATGCTAATTATCGTTTTACCTTTGTTGACATTGGGGCTTACGGATCAGAAGGAGATCCCTCAGTTTTCCAGAAATCAAATCTATGGAAAAACATTCAGGATCAAGCAATAGAATTTCCTAAATCTGAGCCTCTCCCAGGGAGTGAATCACCTAATATGCCTTATTTCTTCCTAGGAGACGAAGCGTTCCCCTTAAGTACTAAGTTTATGCGTCCTTTTGCAGGCCACAACTTAACTGTTGAGAAGAGAGTTTTCAACTATAGATTGAGTAGAGGTAGAAGATTGATTGAATGCACCTTTGGCATCATGAGCAATAAGTGGCGGATCTTCCATCGACCTATGAATGTGAACATAGATTTAGCTGTAAAGATAACCAAACCCTGTGTAATTCTACACAACTTTGTTAGAGCTTAGCTGAACAGGACGGCGTCATGTCGCTGATTTGTCGCGAAGAGTCGGTTGATATCTGTTGAGTTTGATATCAGCGGAATCGTCGGCGTGTGCGGAGACTATATTGTTATTAATTTTAAAACAATGAGTGACAAATTCACACATACAGATGACATCATGACTTTATTTTTAGGTTTCTTGGAAATTATGTCCTTTATAAAACTCAACACGAATTCAAAAAGATCTGTAGAAAGTCTAAAATACTCACTAAATTTGGTTTCATTTTCAAAAAGCCTCCGCTGCACAGTGATATTAAAGGCACCTTCTGTATCGCGAGACAAAAACAACTTATCCACTTGTCTATTGGAATTTTTGACGGTTGCAATTGCCAGTTTCTCTTATTCTTCCTCTTCAACAATAATAACAACGCAAACAATTTATTTGCAACCATTTTAGTACCTTTCGTTTACATTCATAATACATGTGTGTGTGAGTAAATTCCTCATTTTGTGGCAAACAGACTTAGTCTAATGCCATTCTCACACACACACACACACACACACACACACACACACACACACACACACACACACACACACACACACACACACACACACACACACACACACACACACACACACACACACACACACACACACACACACACACACACACACACACACACACACACACACACACACACACACACACACACACACACACACACACACACACACACACACACACACACACACACACACACACACACACACACACACACACACACACACACACACACACACACACACACACACACACACACACACACACACACACACACACACACACACACACACACACACACACACACACACACACACACACACACACACACACACACACACACACACACACACACACACACACACACACACACACACACACACACACACACACACACACACACACACACACACACACACACACACACACACACACACACACACACACACACACACACACACACACACACACACACACACACACACACACACACACACACACACACACACACACACACACACACACACACACACACACACACACACACACACACACACACACACACACACACACACACACACACACACACACACACACACACACACACACACACACACACACACACACACACACACACACACACACACACACACACACACACACACACACACACACACACACACACACACACACACACACACACACACACACACACACACACACACACACACACACACACACACACACACACACACACACACACACACACACACACACACACACACACACACACACACACACACACACACACACACACACACACACACACACACACACACACACACACACACACACACACACACACACACACACACACACACACACACACACACACACACACACACACACACACACACACACACACACACACACACACACACACACACACACACACACACACACACACACACACACACACACACACACACACACACACACACACACACACACACACACACACACACACACACACACACACACACACACACACACACACACACACACACACACACACACACACACACACACACACACACACACACACACACACACACACACACACACACACACACACACACACACACACACACACACACACACACACACACACACACACACACACACACACACACACACACACACACACACACACACACACACACACACACACACACACACACACACACACACACACACACACACACACACACACACACACACACACACACACACACACACACACACACACACACACACACACACACACACACACACACACACACACACACACACACACACACACACACACACACACACACACACACACACACACACACACACACACACACACACACACACACACACACACACACACACACACACACACACACACACACACACACACACACACACACACACACACACACACACACACACACACACACACACACACACACACACACACACACACACACACACACACACACACACACACACACACACACACACACACACACACACACACACACACACACACACACACACACACACACACACACACACACACACACACACACACACACACACACACACACACACACACACACACACACACACACACACACACACACACACAGGTTGTGGGATGTTCGCTCAGCAACTCGGAGCACAAATCGCACGTTCAGACTTCAGACTCACACATTGGCCTACACAGCAAACTACGTAGGTTTTTAAGTCCGTAACTGTTGTAATTAAAATAAAATAAAATGTACCTACACAGTGGAAGAAAAATTCAAATTATAAGTTGGTATTTTGGATGTCACTCGACTAGAGAAATTGTGAATTTATTTATTGTTGCGTTTGAGGATAGGCCAACTCCGTCAGATTGAAAGAATTATTCAAAAATTTCGGAAATGTGGATGTGTACAAAAGTGTCACAAATGTAACAATGTCGATAAACCACGTATTCGACAGATTAGTAAACAAAGGCTTAATAAAGAAACAAATGTGTGTGTCATTGTTGAAGCCAGTCAACCATGTTCTAGCGGTAGCCCAATCGGATTAGGTGAAGAACAGGCTTGAGATTCTGAAAAATTCGAAGCAGCAATTTTCCTTCGGAATTCGTTGGAGGGGGTCTCTGGTAGTCTAAATTCAAAAAGTTGGGATTCCAAAGTTGTCGTTACCTCCGCCATCTTGATTTAAAGGGTTATTTTTTGTATCTTGAATAACTCATTTATTTTCAATTTTACACGAAAAATAGTATTTACAAAAGTTATTTAAAATTAAATTTCCTACAATTCTGCTTTTTTTTTGTACGATCGATTTTTTTCGATTTATACCCGAAAAGAGGGGGTGAATTTTTGGTTATAGAATAACTCGTTTATTTTCAATTTTACGAGAAAAATTGTTATAAACAAAGTTGTTTAAAATTAAATTTCCTACAATTCTGTTTTTTTTTGTACGCTCGTTTTTTTTGTATTTATCCCTGAGAAGAGTGGGGGTAAACTCTTAGAAAAAATCGGAATCATAATTGTACCAAATAACATTTTTGAAAATCAGCAAAAAAAAACAAACAGAAAAAATAATGGTACAACATCAATAATAAACGTGACAATACAATACTTAGGTTCACCCCCACTCTTCTCAGGGATAAATACAAAAAAATCGATCGTACAAAAAAAACAGAATTGTAGGAAATTTAATTTTAAACAACTTTGTTTATAACAATTTTTCTCGTAAAATTGAAAATAAACGAGTTATTCTATAACCAAATATTCACCCCCTCTTTTCCGGTATAAATCGAAAAAAATCGATCGTACAAAAAAAAAGCAGAATTGTAGGAAATTTAATTTTAAACAACCTTGTTTATAACAATTTTTCTCGTAAAATTGAAAATAAACGAGTTATTCTATAACCAAAAATTTACCCCCTCTTTTCGGGTATAAATCGAAAAAAATCGATCGTACAAAAAAAAGCAGAATTGTAGGAAATTTAATTTTAAATAACTTTTGTAAAAACTATTTTCCGTGTAAAATTGAAAATAAATGAGTTATTCAAGATACAAAAAATAACCCTTTAAATCAAGATGGCGGAGGTAACGACAACTTTGGAATCCCAACTTTTTGAATTTAGACTACCAGAGACCCCCTCCAACGAATTCCGAAGGAAAATTGCTGCTTCGAATTTTTCAGAATCTAAAATACTAATCCGATTGGGCTACGGGGAAATTGCTGAAGAAGTTGACATGCACCCAAATACTGTAAGAAAATTTTTGA